TGGGGAGAAGGGCGGCATATAAGTCAATGTATTAAATTAAATTAAATTAAATGATGAGGAAGAGGGCTGTATGAACTGGTTGTGGTCATTGGAAAATATTGCAACAGCTCCCCCCGCATCAGGCACTGAGATGGGGCCTGAGCAGCTCAGGCCAGATGCCCCTGAGTTTGTACCTAAAGCTCAGGGACAGGGAGAAGTCCTTAAAAACCCCGAGTGGAAGGCTGACGAGCAGCCTAAGCAGCTGTCAGAACTGGAGAAAATGTTGTCAACTCTAGAGACCCCTGGGTTGGAGGTGCCTCTGGAGGAAGGCACATTCCACATTCCTTGCAACAGCCAGAACCTCCACATTCCTCCACATTCCTTGCAACAGCCAGAACCAGAGATTGGGCCTCCAGCCCCTGAGACTTTTGGGTGCTAGAAGTCATTCTATACAGCTGAACTCAAAGTACAGAGACGAAAACGAGTGATAAATCTCCTTAGAAGACTGACATATGATGCTTTGGGCCACAGCACAGAAGAGGCAGTACTCACTGCTAGATGAAATTCTGATCCATCTCCTGATACCCCAGACTCTTGGTGAGTGCTCCTCACTCTTTGGGGGACCAAAGGATTTTGGGTGGGGGGAGTGTGTAGCGGGGGTGGGATGAGCTGAAGAGGCAGCAGGGAGGTGCCTGGAGGAGAATTCAGCGAGAGGGCAGAGAGGAGTTGGGACTCGTCTGAGGCCCAGGTTTCTGTGGGGTAAGCCTGAGGGAGAGAAGGGAATAGAATGGGAGAGGCTTCTATGGGGCAAGCCTGAAGGAGAGAAGGGGATAGGATACGAGAGGCTTCTGTGGGGGTTAGCACTACATATATATGGATGGGGTTGCACTGCCCAAGACAGACCCAGTGCATAATCTGGGGTTTCTCCTAGACTGAAAACTCCAGGTGGCCTATGCACAACTGCAGTTTGTGCGCCAGTTATGCCCTTTTCTGAACCAACAATCCCTGCTCACAGTCACTCACACCCTAGTCAGCTCCCATCTTGACTACTGCAATGCATTCTATACACACAGAGACACATACACACACACATACTATGTATGTGTGTGTGTATATTCCATGAACCAACCATGTAATGAGTTAGCACATTCATAACTAGCAATATTTGTAAACAATCTTCCAAATGTAATGCTGTTATTAAAATTATGCATATTATAAAATCCTGAGACCTCCGTCCTTTTGTTTACTTTGAATGCTATGATTTTAAGGACAATCAAAATGGTTTAATTACAATGATGCAACAGCTCAAAAACGTATTAAAATGGCCTGATATATAAAAAATAATTTATCTGAAATCTGATTAATGGAACAAAATCAACACTTACTGTGTTAATATATTACTTATAAATCAAGTACTCAATCATATTAACTTATTGTTTTGACACAAATCAAACTTTTTAAAGAAGTTAAACTTTAATTTGAGATACAATTATTTCATTTGATTAATAAGCTTTAAATTAAATTTTCTGATGACCCCATCACTTGGGCAAGCTATGAATTAATTATACTTCATGCAATATTCCAAACTAATTTTTGTTGCCAATGTGACCATGTTTTATAAGAATTTACCTTCACAGTATACACTGTCATCTCGAAGAGCTCGGAAACCATCTCGGCAGCTACAAACTGCCTTTTCTTCAACATTTCTGCAAAAAGAATTTTCTAAACACTTATGTCCTTCAGAGCAAAAGTCGTGGTCTAAAAATAAACAAACAAACAAATTCTAACTGAGTGACAGTGTAGAAACATAGTGATCCACTAAACATGAACCAAAGCAATGAAAATGAATGTTTCTTTATTAGAATTCCCTCTAACAATGAGTCCTGGGCTCCCATCCAAACTTCACCAAGAGGTCAACAATATATTGGCCAAGAATTATAGAAAAGGTACATCAACGGTCATGAATAATTACATAGATAAGAAAAGCTCCCAAACTCTATATCAACAATAATATAATCAGCCAGACCTAGCCTTAGGCTATTGCCTTGATCTTGATGTCAACCTTGATTTACATTTTTTTAAATCAAAGAATAGACATTTCTTTTAAAAGTATTGTTTCTTTCCTCTGGATCACTTAAACTGAATTAGTCTTAATTCATACAAATGTCTTATTTCTATACAATGGTACTTCTTATTGCTAACACAGGAAACATATTTCAACATAAAAAATAAAGTCTTACTAAGAAAATCTACTTTTAAAAGTACATTTAACACATTTTATAAATACAAAACTTCTGTTTTATTTTAATTAATTTCTAGTTTCTTTTCCTTACAATGCTTTTACTGACATTTATTCTTTATTTTCTTTTTTCTCTTCAAAACAAGAATCTATCACTGTTTCCAATTTTATTTTATAATTCATATTATGCTTATGCCTGATATTGTATTTTATATAGTTTTATTTGCATGGCTTCACAGAAATTGTGATTAGTTTAATATATGGCACCCTATAGATGTATTTAGTACTGTCCATTCCAATCTCTCCTTTAAGGCTGAATGAAAAGATACCTTTAAATCTACATAGAAATCTCAAGAATTAGGGCTTTTTCCCCTAACAAATAGTTTCAAATACATTAATCTGCTGTTGATAGTTCTGCTCACTCGGTCTAATCACGTTTTGCTCATGTTCTCACCAATCAGAGCATATGTCATTCAGATATTTAGCATAAGGTTCATTAATAATGCTTAACAAGCTGATTGGAAAGAAATTAGCAGGATCAGATTTATCACTTTTCTTAAAGATTGGGACAATAACAAAACAGTACTAGTGTTTGGGCATCTGTTTAGAGTGATCAGTCTGTCTAAAGAGAGAGACTAATATGGAAATCAACACTACTTGTTAGCTTTTATTAATTGTGTAGAAATCAGATGTCCAATAGCTGCCTTCCCATTTTTAGCTGGTTTTAAGTTTGGGAATTAGAAATTTCTGAACTTGAAACTGAAGATCTATGAAAAAAAGAAGAGAATTCGTAGTTAATTTGGAGGGGCAAATTCATTTAAACCAGCATCATAAAGGACATTTAAATACCCATTCATCTAGGAAGAGGAATTATATGGTGCATCCTGGCTTCCGTCTGTGCTAGAATAGCAGAGGATTTTTTTTTTCTTTTACAGTTTGCATCATTTTTCCATTTCCATTTGTTGTTTTATTAATTTCATTAAGACTTGATATCTTTAAGTTGTAAAGTTCATCCTGAAGAAAGGGACCGCCTTCCAGTGGTGGGATTCAGCCAGTTCACACCACTACGGCAGAACCGGCACCTAATTTTTTGTTGCCCAGGCCCAGAATGGACTTCTGGAAGCAGCATTCACACAGAGAACCAGTTGTTCACATGTTTGAATTCCACCACTGCCACCTTCCCTATAAGCTCTGTTGCATATAACTAAGTGAGCCTAAGATTTTACAGATTTTTTTGTCAAGCCAAGGTTTATGGCCCTAAGATAATTCTCTGAGTAATTAGAGACTTCACGTTTAAAGACCTTGGAATAGTAATAATCAAGTGATGAAATATATTTTGAAATTTGTACTGAGACCCTGGATTAGATAAAGATTGTTTTAGTTGGGAAGACAATAGAAACCAAAGAAAGAAAAGAAAAACTTTTTTGACCATCTTATTTGAAAACTGTTGTGGTTAGTTATATTATCCTCATTCTCCTGTCTATTTCTCACAGAATCAAAAGCTAATCTTGCAATAGGAGGACAATAACCACTATCTGAGTGGAAAAGAGCCTTCAAGTTGGTAACAATTGAGTTACATGTGAGGATTTGTGATTGAAATACTGCATAAAACTAATTTGAGGGAAGAGGACCCTATTTCAGGTAATTCTTGTAGACGTTTGACTTCTCAGGGGAAAAAGCATCACTTCAAACTTATACTTACTACAGATTCTTAACCTAATCATTGATTACACAAGATTCTGAAAGTGCCTTATAAGAGATCAAACAATGTAGATCTAGACCTACAGAACAAGAGGAGGAGAAGCACTTGCCATTGTAACACTGACCATTGTTAACAGATTTTTACCTAACCCTAATTATTTATACATTTTGTCTTTGTCCCTCATACAAGGGCTTTTACTCTAGCATGACCATCATCATTATAACCATCATCATGGTTAATGCATGATCATCACGGTCTAGCAGGAAGATATAGCAACCTTGCCTTCCAGGACTGGATTGGTCCTTATCTGAAGAAGGGCATAAGTGTTCAATCAATATCTCAGACTCCGCTCAGCTACCCATTGTTCTATAGTGCCACTCAGAATTAATATTGCTTCTTGTAAACCATTCCAACTATATAACGTAATGGTATGTTGAGAATTTACAGAATACTTTAAAGAAACTGATAAATCCTCAGATACCTCAAAAATGTTGCTCAGCATGAATTACATGATTCTTGCTATTTTCATAATCAGAACTGTATTTTTTTTAAAAAAATGAAATGGTTATGCAAATGTTTGGCAAATAAAACTTGGTAAAAATATTCCTTATCACATAAGGGATACTTCAAGATTATTCCATCAGATTTCTACCTCTTCAGCAACTTTACAATAATTAAAGAAGTAGAACTGACACATGGAATTGACACCTATGCCAACTGAACAATTATTTTATGCCAACCATACAATAATGGTTCAGTAGTAAATTATATACAGAACAGCATTCATTTTCAAGAAATTTTTGAATCAATTTGTGTTGCATCTATTTCACATATATTGTATACTGGAAAGTATTTTTTTAAAAGTTTGCTGTTAGCATATTACAATAAAACAGTAAATATTGTATTAAAAAGCTTAAAATGCCTACTGTAAGATAAAATTATATGAATATGGCAGGCATTTTTTTAGTTTTTTTCTTTTATCTTACCTTTACAAACTTTGCAACAACTTTTAGATAAGGATATTTGTTGAGACTCAGGACAGTTCAAAGCAGGACAATTCAACTCCATTGTACGTTGCATTTTGTAATTCTATTGAATCAAGATCATTATTTGTGTTGGCTATGAACTATATTTTTGGCATAATTATATCATTCAATAAAAATACAAGTGCATAATTAATAACCAGTTGTATTCACATTAATCATCTATACAGGAACTATTTGGAATCTCTTGTTTATAAATCATTATTGTGCTATTTATTTTTATTGATTCACATGGATTTGTTAGTCAGATGTCATCTAGTTCATCACGCTGTTTGTCATATGTTCAAATGTCATACCTAACATATTTGTGTGATTTTGACAGAAGTAGAAAGTTCTGAAGGCTGATACGAGTTTTAGTATGTCTGCTTATCTTAAGTATATAAGCCATATGCCTAGCTAACTGAAAGAGAATTGGGAGTTCCCTGATTATTTCAGGGTTCTTTTTTAAATTCAACTAATCAAACTGTGAATCTCTATAAAACCAACATTCTAATTTGGCTGCCCAAGGCATCTCCCTCAAACTGAAAATTGGAAGCCCCAGCTATTTATTAGCAAATGTTTATTTCCTTCCCTCTAAATGTCTGTCACAAATAAAGGCACCTTGCTGAGTTGTAGTTAAAGGAATCGTTGTCTCTATATCCAAACTCTGAGTTGATTGTAACTGGTAATTTTAATGCAAGGATGAATTCTGATGATAAGCCATTTTTTCTTTACATTTTAACTTTGATGTTTTAAGCTTGTTCCACAGTATAAAGCCATCAAGAAAAGGAGATAAAGGTTGGTCTAATTGATTATTAAAAATGATCTATAAATCTTAAATGGCTGGTGCCTGGCAGTCCAGAGGGAGGTCTTATCTTCTACTGACAACGGGCACAAACACAATAAATTAGTTCTCCTACTTCATTCACTCAGCATAACAGCATTCATTCACCATTAGCTTACTACTAGTACCAGGTTAATTTCTCAGAGCATATTAGAGACCATTCAGTTTAGGCACCCTCAAATTGAATTGTACAATACACACACAAATGTTCTAACTATTCTAGCTGTTAAGGTCTAATGCCGCATCTGTTCAGAACCCTATTCCTAAAGTTTCCTAATTCTGCTTTGATAAAGAATGTGACAATAGCTAATTTTTCTATGAGTTATGCTACTGAAACTTCTGCCATGTATTGTTGCAGTCTCCTTTTAATAACTGATGCTCTGAGTGAATAACTCTACGGTTGGTTGAGTGCATAACTGAAGTCATTAAAAAGAATTGAGAAAGATAAATTATATTGAAGTAGAGTCTCTGTTAACTCTGCTATCCTCATGCATTAACTTAGTTCTTTAGGATTCTCCTTTTGTCATTAACTAAACATAAAATAGCTGTAAAGATACAACTTTGCAGCACCAAAAATTATGGCTTGAGAAAAGAATAGGACAACAGTTCTAACCCCTCACCAATTCAAGAGTGAGGTTGGACAAATTATGAACCCAGATCTAAAATTGAAAAAAACCCTTTCAATAGAGGGTTAGGAAAAAAAATAGTATATTCTTCAGAATGCTGCTATCAAACTGTCTTTAGGGCCACTGCATGCTTCTAGCTTGCCAACAGTGAGGGAGGGAAAGAGGGGAAGAAGAGTTTTGAGTCCACAGGTATTCCTTATCAATGTGAGAGCAGAAGCCAATTGAACAGTTGTTTTGGCAAACTAAAGTTTCTTCTCATAATAATTACTGGAAGATATATTGGAGAATGTGAGCTGAACTGTCAGAGAGGGGAGGGAAAGTTTCATTCTTTTAATTAACTGCTTCCCACCATTTTCTCAGAGCTAGCTTTATTTCCATCATACCAGTTTGCTAATGCCTAATAAAGAATACATTAGAGAATGCAATGTCTCTGGTGTTTTGCTTTGTTGGGCTTGACACTAAGCTAGCTCTCTAAACAATTCCAATTCCACTAAGGGGTCCTGAGTCCCTACACCCTCTGGTAGCCTCCAGAGAGTTAGTGAAGACTCCTGATGCCTGAAACAGAGAAGCCGGCTGGAGTCAGATTGGGATCGACCAGTGGGACTCCAGCTGGGGCCGAAAGCTGCTTCGTAACCTCATCTTCATAATGTCCTAAGTAGCAAGTTGAACGTAAGGAGCTGACCCCAACCCTGGAATGGACAGGTGGAGCAATGGCATTCAACCAGCTGAGTTGGAGAAATGGTGAGAGGAGTTATGGAAAGCCACTGCAGCCGAATTCTCATTGTACTGCCATCAGCCCAAATGGGGCAGAGAGCTGGAATGGTGGAAGTGAGGAGCTTTAAAGGAGACAGACCCAGGGAGCGCTACTTGCCAAGGTGTGGAAGTCAGTCGGTGGAGCAATTGAGGCAGAGCTTTAGTAGCCTAGAGGTCCATGGAGGAGAGCCGGTCCCCCAAAAGGTCTCAGCTCTGTTCCTGGCACCAGCACCAGCCCCTTTGCCCTGGCACTTAACAGGAGGAGCAGCCGTGGGGCTGGGAGAGCAGTTAGCCCACAGCCAGGGCTACCTCCCAGTCCAGTCCCAGTCCAGGACAAAGAACCTGTAGCCTGCCACCGATGCCTATTCCTCAGCCTGAGGAGGGCAGATTGGTGGCCACTACCGACCCCAGGTTTGTCCATGGATGTACCCGTATGGTGGGGCCTGGATGCCTGGACCCTGGCCAGCACCAAGGCCACCTACACCCCCACCACTGAAGGCAACCTTTTATGGGAACCCTGAGAAGCTGGCATTCTTCATCAATCAAGTCTGGACCCACCTCAACTGACATGGAGAAATTACCCTGATGATGAGGCCCAGGTGGATGTCATGGTGGCCAACCTCGAAGGGGAGGTGGCAGAATGGGTGACAATTCTCCATGATAAAGGCGCCCCCAAATTGGCAGATCTGGGCTCATTTCTTTGCGGTCTCAGAGCCCAATTCAGGGACCCTGTGCAGATCCAACAAGTGGAGGAAAAGGTCTGGAAGGTCAAGCAGGGGAGTAGACCCATGACTGAGTACATTAGAGATTTCAGGAGGATCGTGGGAGGCTAGGTACTGGCCAGAGCAGCTCTTCACCCTATACTTCCGAGAGGGGCTTAGCTGCAACCTGTTCCACATGTGTCTGGCCTGAGGGATCCCAAAATGATTTGGTGACTGGTATCAGCTAGTCATCACCGTGGAATTAGACCTGGTGGTGTTCAAGGACCATGGGGGCTTCAGACCACAGCTTAAGAAAAGCAAGAGAGGTGTGCTTTAGGGAGAATGCCACCAGCAGCAGCATCCCCAGTTCCTGCAGGACTGTCCGACTGCACCTCCATAAAGTGCTTTTGCTGTGGCCAGGAGGGTCACAGGACTGTGATGTGCCTGGCACCAGCCCCTTGGGCGGCTCCCACAGCCTCGATTCCTTGGAATCCAAAGAAGCCACTGAAGAAGGGGAAGGAGAAATCGCAAGCAGAGAGCAAAGGGGATGGAACTCTGACCGAAGAGAGATCACTGATGATCCTTTATGATAGCAAGAGCAAGGGCATGGATGACCCAAAGGTGAGTGGACCTATCAACCACCTTGAAGTTAGGGTAGACATCAAGGCATCCCGCTCAAGGGCGAGGGGGATGGTAAAGACCCTCATAGACTCTAGCTGCTCCCGTTGTCTAATTAGTGAACCTGCAGTGCAGAGGCTAGGATTACACATGAGGAAACCTGTGAAATTCAAACAGGCTGATGGCATGTTGATAGGAGGCAAGGCCACTTCCCATCTAACAGAGCAGATACAGCTAGAGTTGGAAGACCACCAAGAGACTATTCATTTTATGGTCACCACAAAGATGGCAGAGGACATGATTCTGGGCCTGGCTTGGGAGAAAGCCTCAAAGCATATGATTATGAGGAAGCAGGCCCTAAGCCCCCCTAACAAGGGAAAGGAGCAGCCTGAGAAGTGGGGGGGAGAAAATCCCTGAGCACAGAAATCCATCCCGAAGGAGTACTGAGACCTCATGGAGACATTCAGCAAGAAAGAATGCAATGTCCTCCACCCTCAACATCCCACAGACTGTGCCATCAAGATCCTGCCTGGGGCGAAATTCCCTAAGCCAAAGATGTATTCCATGACTCTGAAGGAGATGAAGGAGCTGAGGGACTACATTGATAGGAACCTAGCGAGAGGGTTTATTCAGGCGGCGAAATCTCAAATAGCAGTACCAGCACTCTTTAAGTAAAAGAAAGATGGGTCGCTGAGATTATGTGTGGATTTCCATGGGATCAATGGGGTGTGTGTGGAGAATATGTACCCCCTCCCTCTCATGAAGACATGCTAGGACATTTAGCCAAAGGGAAAGTCTTCACGAAATTAGACATCAGCGAGGCATACTACCAAGTGAGTATTAAGGAAGATGATGAGTGGAAGACAGCCTTCAACTGCCTCCTTGGTAGCTATCAATTCAAAGTGATGCCATTTGGACTACAAGGAGCCCTCGCTGTGTTCATGCAACTCATAAACGAGGTGCTGCATGAGCATCTTTATAACAGGGTTCTAGTGTATCTTGAAGATATCCTCATTTACACTGAAACCATGGACGAGCATGTGAAGCTTGTGCAACAGGTACTAAAAAACTATTGAATGCTAAATTGTCCCCTGTAAGTTTTTACTGCCTGAGATTGTCTATCATCATTCCACTCTAGTTTTGCCAACATCGTCAGAGTGGAATGCTGGAGGTTCAGAAATTTGCTTATGGGACCAGCTGTTTTTGCGCTCTGTTCATGGATGAAGCAATCACGTTCCTGGAAAGGAGCCAGAGAGGCCACTTTGCGGCTTCGAGAGAAAGACGGCTGCTTAGCTGGAACCCAGGTTCAGCAACTCTTCTGCTCCCAGCATGTGGCCATTCCAGAGCACCAGCTAAAAGAACTGAACTTGATAATAGACAGGGCTTTGTAGGCATATAGGGTTGCTTTGGAGGTCACTGTGTGCCCGTGATGTATTCAGCGGCTGACCTCCATGCCCTGCGAGAGTCCCCTCTCTCGCAGGTCTGGCCCACAGCATTAACGAGGGCCCACCTCTATGAGGGATTT